ATGGCGAGGAGTTTTGGGGTATTGGATCAATTTGACGTTGCGTCGGGGAAGTGGAAGACTTACAGGGAGCAAATGGAGTTTTTTTTTATGGCAAATGAAATCACAGACGATAAAAAGAAAAAAGCAATCTTTTTAGCGTCATGTGGGCCGGAAACCTACACAATATTAAAATCGGTTGCCACACCGATTAATATTGTAGAGGAAACATTCACATTTGAGGCGGCAACTAAGTTATTGACCAACTATTTTTGTCCGGCAGCGAATGCAATAATTGAAAGGTTTAAATTTTATCGGAGAAACCAAGTAGAGGACGAATCAATTATTGAATATTTGGCAGCGCTAAGGAAATTGAGCCAAGACTGCAATTTCAAGGATTTGGAAGAAATGTTACGAGACAGACTAGTCTGTGGCATGCGCGATGAAAATTTACAAAAGCGGCTCCTGGCGAATGACCAGTTAACACTAAAAATAGCGCAGGAGGAAGCTATAGCATCAGAAACAGCACAAAAGAATGCGACGGAACTTAAAACGTCAGCCAGCCTACCAGGGTTGAATAAAATTTCAAGCAACAAGGTAAAACCAAATCGTGCTCCAGTGGACCATATTCAGAATTGTTATCGTTGTCGAGGAAATCATCATTCAGATCAGTGCAAATTTAAAGACGCGGAATGTTATTATTGGAAAAAGCGTGGACATATTGAGAGAGCTTGTATAAAAAAAGAAAAAACCAAAAAGCCAGCAACAAATAATGGAAGAAGACCAAACAGAGTAAATCTTTTAGATACAAACCAGGAAACTCAAAAGACAGAGTATTTATGGTCAATGTTCGTTAAAGGTAGTCCATCGGTCAAGAGAGTGATTACGATAAGTAAGTCACCGGTACAAATGGAAATAGATTCGGGGGCAAGTTACTCAATAATAAGTGAAAAGTTATTTAGAGAAAAAATGCCGTATATTCCGCTAAAACCAAGTCAAATACAATTAAGAACTTGGGGAACAGAGAAAAATCTTAAACTGAGTGGAGAAGCAGAAGTACCAGTCTCGGTTGGGAACGTCACAAAGAAACAAAAGTTGTTAGTAGCAGCGGGTGAAGGTCCGGCTCTAATCGGTCGAAATTGGTTTAACGATTTGGGAATTACTATAACCAGCAATTTATGCAATATAGAATCAACTATTCCAGTAGAAGTGATGAACTTCAGTTCAGTTTTTGATGGAAATCTTGGAGATTACAAGGGAAATCCTGTGAAGTTACAAATGTCAGTTTCAAGTAAACCGAAATTTCTTCGATATCGACAAGTGCCGTTTGCACTAAAACTCAAGGTGGAAGCAGCATTAAAGAAGTTGGAAGATGAAGGCGCACTACGTTCAATATCCTTTAGTGAGTGGGCAACACCGGTTGTACCTATAATTAAACCAGATGGTAGCATACGCATTTGTGGAGATTATAAGTGCACAGTGAATCAAATGCTTTGCAAGGAAACGTATCCATTACCTACTAATACAGAAGTGCTAGCAACATTAGCAAATTGTAAGTGGTTTACAAAGCTGGATTTAGATCGAGCGTATACACAGGTGAAGGTTGACCAAGAATCAGCAAGGATACTTACATTAAACACACATCGCGGACTTTTTGAAGTTACAAGATTACCGTTTGGAATTTCAACGGCACCAGGTATATTTCAACGGCTGATGGAAGGAGTTCTTAAGAACATAGATGGTGTGATTATTTATTTAGACGACATTCTAATTGGCGGAACAACTTTGGAAGAGTTGTGGGATAGAACACGAACTGCTCTGAAATGTGTACAGGATGCAGGATTGAAGCTTAAAAAATCAAAATGTGTTTTCGCAGTACAAGAGATAACATTTTTGCGGTTTAAGATAAGCCGAGAAGGAGTGCGTCCAACTGACGAAAAGGTGAAGGCAATAGCTCAAACACCAGAACCAATAAATAAACAACAGCTACAAGCTTTTCTTGGGTTAATTACATTTTATGATAGATTTTTACAGAATAAGGGCGATCTATTGGAACCGCTGTATCAACTATTAAGAAAAGAGATACCTTTTAAATGGGGTAGAGAACAGAAATTAAGTTTTGAACGAGCAGAGAAACTACTACAATCAAAAAATCTGTTGGTGCATTATTCGGCTGACTTACCACTGATATTATGCGGAGACGCATCACCGTATGGAGTTGGCGTGGTTTTGGCACACAAGATGCCGGATGATAGTGAAGCACCGATTGCTTTTGGCTCCAGAACATTACAGGGCGCGGAACGAAATTATTCACAGTTGGATAAAGAAGCGCTAGCGATTATGTTTGGTGTGCAAAAGTTTCATCAATTTTTAAGTGGTAGACAATTTACAATAATGACTGATCATAAACCACTAGTGGGGTTATTCAACCCAGAAAAACCAATATCACAGCATATATCACCCAGAATGTTAAGGTGGTCGTTAAAGTTAGGCGCTTACCAGTACGAGATTAAATTCCGAGAAGGGAAACATCACCAGAATGCAGATGCATTGAGCCGGTTACCTTTAAATGATGTAAAGCTACAAATACCGGAAATACCTGAAATATTATATTGCAATGAGGCTGAGGAACAGTTTTTAATCACTGCGAAAGACATTGCACAAGCAACCAGAAGAGATCCAGTACTATCAAAAGTAATGTGGCATATCCAAAGGAAAGATACAGTTTTGCCATATAAATCAATCCAGTTTAAACCGTTTGTGAATAAAATCCAGGAACTATCAGTGAATGCACAATGTTTGTTATGGGGAGCCAGGGTAATAATACCAGCAACACTACGTCCCAGAATACTTGAGATGTTGCACGAAGTTCATCAAGGCATGTCAGCAATAAAAGCAGTGGCGCGAAGCTATTTTTGGTGGCCTGGTTTAGATGAAGATATAGAAATGTTAGCCAGACGTTGTGAAAAGTGTGCATGTAACAAACATAGATGGTGTGATTATTTATTTAGACGACATTCTAATTGGCGGAACAACTTTGGAAGAGTTGTGGGATAGAAAAGTTTCATCAATTTTTAAGTGGTAGACAATTTACAATAATGACTGATCATAAACCACTAGTGGGATTATTCAACCCAGAAAAACCAATATCACAGCATATATCACCCAGAATGTTAAGGTGGTCGTTAAAGTTAGGCGCTTACCAGTACGAGATTAAATTCCGAGAAGGGAAACATCACCAGAATGCAGATGCATTGAGCCGGTTACCTTTAAATGATGTAAAGCTAGAAATACCGGAAATACCTGAAATATTATATTGCAATGAGGCTGAGAAACAGTTTTTAATCACTGCAAAAGACATTACACAAGCAACCAGAAGAGATCCAGTACTATCAAAAGTAATGTGGCATATCCAAAGGAAAGATACAGTTTTGCCATATAAATCAATCCAGTTTAAACCGTTTGTAAATAAAATCCAGGAACTATCAGTGAATGTACAATGTTTGTTATGGGGAGCCAGGGTAATAATACCTGCAATACTACGTCCCAGAATACTTGAGATGTTGCACGAAGTTCATCAAAGTATGTCGGCAATGAAAGCAGTTACGCGAAGCTATTTTTGGTGGCCTGGTTTAGATGAAGATATAGAAATGTTAGCCAGACGTTGTGAAAAGTGTGCATGTAACAAAAAGAATCCTCCAGTAGCGACAGGTGAACCATGGCCAGCAACGCTAAGGCCATGGTCCCGGTTACATATTGATTATGCGGGACCCTTTATGGGTACAAATTTTTTTATCGTCGTAGATGCTCATAGCAAGTGGGTAGAGGTAAAAATAACCAGTACAATAAATGCGATTAGAACAATCGAGTTAATGAGAGAAATATTTGCAACACACGGAATACCAGATACCATTGTGTCCGATAATGGGCGAACGTTTGTGTCAGAAGAATTTGAGAAATATTTAAAACTTAGCGGTATAAAGCACATACGTACGGCACCGTATCATCCATCGTCAAACGGGCAAGCAGAAAGGTTTGTACAAACCATTAAGAATCACCTTAAGAAAATGCAGTCTTCAGACATCAGTAAGAATTTGGCAAATATACTTTTGCATCTGCGTACAACTCCTAATGCAAATTCAAATTTGAGTCCAGCAGAAATCTTGATGGGAAGGAAGTTGAAAACATTGTTAGATCATTTGCACCCCAGTGATCACAACACTCAGAAGCAGCTAAATTCTGATGAGTATTCCAAACAAATAAAACCAGTTCGCAGTTTCCAGTGTGGTGAAAGTGTTTGGTACCGAAATTTTGGAAGAGGTGAAAAGTGGATGCCAGGGATTATACAATCAACAGGAGATCGCAACTACAAAATTCAATCAAATAGTGACATATTGTCGAGACATATTGACCAGTTGCATAAGCGAGTTTCGGAGACACCGACAAGGTTAGAATCCAATATAACTCCAGTAGCAGTAACTTCAGTGGCACAACCGGAAGAGCAAGACGACCAAATAAGTGCAGGTCATTCATCAAATGAATATATCCTACCAGATAGTCAAGTAGAGGGGTCATTTGAAGAGAAAGATAAAAGAGATGAAACATTAAAATCGCGACCGTACCGGCAGAGGCAACCGCCAAAAAGGTTACGGGACTATTTGATGGGGGAGGAACTGTAGTATATTCGATAATGGCAACACTGCATAAAGAAATAGAGAAAGAAGTAAAAAAGACAAAATGCGTAGTAGTTGTCGGAATAGTGCAAAGCAGAGTAAACGTGCTGTGGTGTAATCATAATATTTATTAAGATTAATTTCTAAATTATTATAATACTTTAAGTAATAAAGTATATGTTGT